GGGGGTGTCTGCAGTGAGACTGTGGGGGTGAGACTGTGGGGGTGTGTCTGCAGTGAGACTAGGGGAATGTTCACACTTAGTGTTGACACTGGTAATGTCCTGTTTTATTGGTCACTTGGGTGTAGGTGTGTTGTCAGAGTCAGGGGAGAGTGCAGTGTGTGTCAGAACCTTCTGGGTTGAGTGTGAAATGAAAGGGGAGTGAAAGTTTGCTATATGTGACATGTTAGTAACAATAGCAGGATGTTGATGCAGTTTAAATTGTGTGTTTTTTCTGACAGATGTGTGGAGGGACCGGGATGAATCCACCAACCTCCGTCAGAAACACGATGTGGAACTGGAGAAAGAGGAAAAAAGGATGGAGGTGGAGAAAGAGATTCGACTTCAGGTAGGACTCTTCTTCAAACACCACTATCCGAGTCCAGGCCTCACTGTCCGAGCCCAGGCCTCGGTGTCTGTTCACACCGAACATAAAATGCACTGCGTGCATCAGGGAGCAATATATTTTTGTTCTGAGGAAGGGTCACCGGACCTGAAACGTTAACTGTGTTTTCTCCTCCACAGATGCTGCCAGACCTGCTGAGCTTTTCCAACAGCTTTGTTTTTGTTTCTGATTTACAGCATCTGCAGTTCTTTTGGTTTTTAGCGATATATTTTTGTCCGCTACTCTGGTCTGCTTGACTTTGTAGCTCATTACATTGTGTAGGCCTTGCCACAGACTCACTATTTTCTCAAATGACATGAAGAATGCCACTGCATCCTTTCCCTCCAATTCTGATGGGACGTGGACAATTGTAAACATTTCCTGACTGGACTGTAAAATATAACTAGAACTTTCTATAACTGAGCCCTGTTAGGTTTCTGAGGTCTCGTTTCCTTAACTGTGTCATTCTAAACTTTATATTCTTTCACTCTATTCTCTTTCCCTTCACAAATCAAGTTCTGTTTTGTTTTATACTCTCTTTCCTTATATTTCTGTCGTATCTCTAGTTTCCTTATTCTTCCCTCGTGATCAATCTGTTTTATCTCTAACTCAAAAGGAACTGATTTTGATGTCTCACTTTCTGGTTCTTCCTGAAAATCCCATTAGCCCAAGTGCTGTGTTAGTCTTTCATTTTTACCTTCGTAGCCCTGGCAGGTAACCCCATTTTGTGGTGGGTTGACTCGCCGAGCTGGTTCGTTGTTCCACAGACATTTCATTACCATGCTGCAATGTACTACACCAAACGACAGGGCACTACCCGCGAACAACTCTACTTCCTACATGGATGCCTCAGGAACCAGGCAATGTGAGATACAAACCCCCCATCAACAACCCACAAGCCCGCAAAATAGCAGAATACAACGGCCGCAGGATGGTAAAGGTAATGATCAGCGATGCACACAACCGGCTCCACAGATATAACAGAGAAATTATGCGCCAAAAATCTTTATTCCTTGAAGCTACCAACGAAAACTGGATAACGGACCTAGAACAAGCCATCAACATCAGTCAACAGACCACAAGAGCCAGGAAAAGACAGACCCTTCAGGAAAAACTAGCCAAACTAACCCACAAAAATAACAACAGAGCAGACACCTGGATAAGAAACCTTCCAGACAGGAAACTGACAGTCACAGAGAAAGCTGTTCTCATTCACGAACTCAACTACAGCTACAGAGACGTCAACAAAACAGAATTCCTAGCCACACTGGAAGCCACACTGAGGACCAACAGCATCAATGAAGAAACACAAACAGTGATCCTGACACTGACCAGAAATAGCGAACACAACACTCTCAACACATCTGAAAGGAAATCCCTAGAAGGACTGAAAAAGGACAAGAACATCACAATACTACCAGCAGACAAAGGACACATGACAGTAATACTAAATAAGTGGGACTACCCCTCCCAGGCACATGCACTACTCACCAATGAGAACACATACCGGCAAGTGCAGACAGACGCGAAACCACCACTGAGCAACAAGATTCTCAGCACACTAAAGAGACTCAAACGGACCCGACATCAACAAAACAGACTTCTTAAGAATGAAACCTGAAGGAACTAACACCCCCCCAATTCTATGGCCTCCCGAAAGTGCACAAACCAGAAGTACCCCTCAGACCCATAGTCTCCCTGCCAGGCACTCCATCGCACAGATTAGCCAAGGAACTACAAAGGAGCCTAAAGCACCTCTTCAGCAAGTCACCCCATTCAATCCACTCAGCCCAGGAGTTCCTCAATTCCATCAAGCACATAAGAATAGATGGCGACGAGACCATGGTATTGTTTGATGTTACTGCCCTATTCACATCGATAGACATACCACTAGTGAGAGAAACACTGACAACAAGGTACCGCAACAAGAACAAGGCCCTAGTGACACCATCTCCACAGACAACATGATGAAGCTACTGGACCTGTGCCTCACCACCCACTTCGCCTTTAACGACCAAATATATGAACAGATCAACGGGACACCCATGGGATCACCTATCTCCGGTCTAATAGCTGAAGCGGTAATACAGAAACTTGAAACTATGGCCCTTCCGCTAATCCAACCAAAACTATGGATACTCTACATGGACAACACGTTCATCATTATTAAACAGACCAAACTAGAGGAGACACACAAACTAATAAACAACACCCTCACCAGGATCAGATTCACCAGAGAAGAGGAGAAGAACAAACAGCTCCCATTCCTGGACATCATGGTAGAACGCAGGACAAATGGGGAATTCCGAACAAAAGTACACAGGAAAGGTACACACACTGACCAAGTACTGAATTTCAACAGTAACCACCCTAACACACACAAACGAAGCTGCGTGCGAACACTATTTAACCGGGCAGCAATACACTGCAGCAGCACAGAGCTACGCCGAGAAGAAGAAGAATACCTCTTCCAGGTATTCAGTGACAATGGATACCCGAAACACTGGGTCAGAAGATGCCTATTACACGAACGACACTAGGAAGCTACTACACGCCCCGACACACTCATCACATTAACTTACATCAAGAACATATCGGAACTGACCACAAGAATCCTACGACCACTGGGCAGAGTAGCACACAAACCCACATCAACCCTTCGCCGACTGCTCACCTGAACCAAAGACCCACTACCCACTATGGACAGGACCAATATTATAAACAAGATTCCCTGCAGAGACTGTGACAAACATTACATTGGACAAACAGGAAGGAAATTAACCACAAGGGTACACGAACATACATTGGCTACAAAAAGACACAACCAATACTCACATGTCTCCATCCACATGGATAAGGAAAACCACCAATTCAGTTGGGACAACACCAGGATCCTGGGACAGGCAAAGCAGAGACAAGCACGGGAATTCCTACAAGCCTGGTATTGCATGAAGGAAGCCATCAATAAACACATAGAAATAGGCCACATATACACTCCATTGCGAAGGAAAACCGGAAGTGAGGTAATCCAGCTCAACAGACTCCAGAGTTTAAATAACAGGCGGGAAAACACAACAGTGCTTCATCGGAGGCTGCACTGATGATGTTACCCAGCAGGGTAATGAAATGTCTGCGAAACAATGAACCAGCTCGGTGAGACAACCTACCACAACATCCACAACCCGAGCTACAAATCTACTCTAAAACCTTCAAGGTAACCCCATTTCAAGCTTGCTTGCCAATCCATCAACCTGACTATTGGGATCACTGGCAACTTTGCCTAGAGGAAGGTTTTAGTAGTTTCTAATGCCATCTTACATTTGACAGTACAAAAACTGGTGTTTTCTTTTATCTTTTTGTCACTTAGTAACACCACACCCAATCTGATGTTGTCTTTGTTCCAAAACAGCCCAGCCACAAGCCCTCAAACATGTTCACAACCCACTGGGGTACTGTGTTGGAAATCAAATCCCATTGTTCCCATGCAAAACATTTAGCCAAACTATCCAAAGTTGGAGCAGATGTGATGAGGTGTATGACCTAATTTGCTCCAAGTGTCATGTCTGAAATCCCCAATATTCTTGACTGATGATTCAGGTTAAAAGAAAATGACCAACAGGTTTTGGTACTTCACAAGGAAATTCTGAACACATTGTCTTTGTCCAGTGGCGGTTAGGAAATATGAATTGCTGAGGTATAACGCTTTATTCTTTAAAATCTACCCCTCTTAAATTCCTCCTTCACAAACAAACCTACCCATATATTAAGGCTAGAAAAGGAAAACAAATTCAGGAAAACAGTTCAATAGCACCATGCTGGAGCAGAGGAGCTGATAAGTTGTTCTCTTATGGTTACTTCTTTTAGTTCTTTGTCAATGATTTGTTTGCACACCAACGGGCTCGTTCATTCACTCATTGAGAATTTGTATTTTCACTGTTTTTAAAGGTGTTTTATCCCTTCTTCAGTGGGGGATTTTCAGAAAAAGTGGAAGACAGCTGGCTGGTGACATTTTGGTGCCTCCAAAAAGGAGAGAGAGAGATTTTGCTGTTTTCATTTTGTAGGCTGAATTTTTCTTTGGTACACTGGGCCTACACAAGCCATGGTGACTTAGCCAGGGGCCAAACAAACTTACTTGTCAAACAGTTGTCCCTTAGTTTAGAACCCTTTTGATTCTGTGGAGTCTGTTTCTGCTCTCACTGTTCCAGGAAAATTCAACATTTTACACAACTCAGTGTGCTCCAGTAAAGATGATTTTTAAAACTGCAGCCATCTCTTTGCACAGTCTCCTTAGTTTAAAGCAGTATCTTCTCTTTTTAGTCCATGGTCCAAAAATGAAGGCAAACAAATGGTATTTCTTTTTGTTATGACTGACACTAACCTCCTGCCCTCTTACCCTAACAGGTGGATGAGCTGATGAGAGAAGAGTTGAGGAATTTGAGAATGGCAGTTGAGCGGGATTTCAGTGAACCTCCCAAAGCAAAAGCCAAACCCAAAAAGGTATCATCTGAGCAGTGACTAAATCATTGTCAATTGTCCCAATGAGCTCTTATCTCTATCATGTATGTTCCAGCTGCTCTGTCTATCCCAGCTTCTCTCTCTCCATCAAACCCTCTACCTCACATTCTCCCCTCATTAATCTCTCCATCCACCTTCTCTCTCCCCATTAATCTCTCCATCCCCCCTTCTCTCTCTCCATTAATCTCCCCATTCCATCTTTTCTCTCTCTGTTAACCTTTCCATCCCACCTTCTCCTCCCTATCCCACTACTATCACCAATACATGGTCAAGCTATACTTGCCCTTGTTCTGTCGCGACCTCCATCTGAAATTATTTTATGCTTCTATGGGACATGGGTGCCATTGTCTGGCCCAGTCAATGACTCAACCCCCCCCAGTTGTCTCTATCCCTGAGTGCCTTGCTTGGACATTTCAGATGCTGTTAAGAGGCTATGTTGCTGTGGTTCTGGAGTCAAGTGTAGGCCAGAGCAGGTGAGGATTGCAAATTTCCTTCCTGAAAGGACACTAGTGAACCAGATGGGCTTTTAGGATAACTGACAGTGGTTTTTTGGTAAACATTAGGCCAGTTTTTTCCCAAATTTTTTTCAATTCATATTTCACCACCTTTTTTTTAATCATTTATTGGAAGTAGGTATCCATAGCTGGGCCAGCATTTATTGCCCATCCCTAGTTGCCTTTGAGAAGGTGGCAGTGAATTGCCTATTGAATCAATGTAGTCCATGTGCCATAGACCCATAATGCCCTTAACGAGGGAATTCCTGGATTTTAACCCAGTGACGCTGAAGGAACAGCGATAGGAACATTTAAGCGACTCTTGGATAGGCACATGGATGATAATAAAATGTAGGGTATGCAGGGTAGTTTGATCTTAGAATAGGATAATAAGTCGATACAACATCATGGGCCGAAGGGCCTGTACTGTGCTGTACTGTTCTATGTTCTGTGATATGTTGTCATGTGTACTGAAATACAGTGAAAAGCTTTGTTTACGAGCGGTACAGGCAGATCACAGCAAACAAAGGATGTACAGATCAAAAAGACTTAGAGGCATACAGGTTACATTGCAGGTTACATTATCTGAGGCTAGAGTTCTTTCAACAGTCTGATAACGGCCAGAAAGATGCTGTTCCAGCACCTGCTCATGCATGTGTTCAGGTTTCTGTATCTTTTGCCTAATAGAAGAGGTTGCAGGAGAGCATTTCCAAGTCAGGATGGTGAGGGGCCTGGAGGAGAACTTGCGGATGATGGTGTTCCCATGTATCTGCCGCTTTTGTCCTTCTAGATGGAAGTGTTCATGGGTTTGGAAGGTGCTGCCTAAGGATTTTTCATGAATTTCTACAAATAATATACACTGCTGCTACTGAGCGTTGGTGGTGGAGGGAGTGGATGTTTGTGGATGTGGTGCCAATCAAACAGGGGCTGCTTTGTCCTGGATAGTATCAAGCTTCTTGAGTGTTATTGGGGCTGCACCCATCCAGGCAAGTGGGGAGTATTCCATCACACTCCTGACTTGTACCTTGTAGATGGTGGACAAGCTCTGGGGAGTCAGGAGGTGAGTTACTTGCTGCAGTATTCCCAGCTTCTGACCTGCTCTTATAGCCACTGTATTGATATCACATGGAGTGAATCAAATTGGATGAAGACTGGTATCTGTGATGCTGGGGACTACTGGAGGAGGCCAAGATGGATCATCCACTCGGCACTTCTGGCTGAAGATTGCTGCGAAAGCTTCAGTCTTATGTTATGCACTGATGTGCTGGGCTCTTCCATCATTGAGGATGGTGATATTTGTGGAGGCTCCTCCTCCAGTGAGTTGTTTAATTGTTCACCACCATTCACAACTGGATGTGGCAGGACTACAGAGCTTAGATCTGATCCACTGGTTGTGGGATTAAAGTCATAGAGTGATAGAGTGATGGAGATGTACAGCATGGAAACAGACCCTTCGGTCCAACTGGTCCATGCTGACCAGATACCCTAATTTGCCATTTGCCAGCATTTGGCCCATATACCTATAAACCCTTCCTATTCATATACCCATCCAAGTGTCTTTTAAATGTTGTAATTGTACCAGCCTCCACCACTTCCTCTGGCAGCTCATTCCATACATGCACCACCCTCTGTATGAACAAGTTACCCCTTGGGTCCCTTTTATATCTTTCCCCCTCACCTTAAACCTATGCCCTCCAGTTTTGGGCTCCTCCACACGAGGGAAAAGACCTTGTCTATTTATCCTTTCCATGTCCCTCATGATTTTATAAACCTCTATAAGGTCATCCCTCAGCTTCCGACAGTCCAGGGAAAATAGCCCCAGCATATTCAGTCTCTCCCCATATCTCAAACCCTCCAACCCTGGCAACATCCTCATAAATCTTTTCTGAACCCTTTCAAGTTTCATAACATCCTTCCAATAGCATAACTGCTCACAGTATTCCAGGAGCGGCCGAACCAATGTCCTATACAGTCGCAACATGACCTCCTAACTCCTATACTCAATGCAGTGACCAATAAAGGCAAGCGTACCAAATGCTGCCTTCACTATTGGTTAGCTCTATCTATCACTTGCTTCTTATGCTGTTTGGCGTGCAAGTAGTCCTGTTTGGTGGCCTCACCAGGTCGACACCTCATCTTCAGGTATGCCTGGTGCTACTCCTTTTGTTTCCCTCACCACCTGCCGCAGGCCCAGTCTAGCAGTTATGTCCTTTAGGACCCGACCAGCTCGATCAGTAGTACTATTGCCGAGCCACTCGTAGTGGTGGACATTGAAATCCCCCACCCAGAATACATTTTGTGCCCTTACCATCCTCAGTGCTTTCTTTAAGTGTTGTTCAACATTGAGGAGTACCGATTCATCAGCTGAGGGAGGACGGTAAGCAACAATCAGCAGGAGGTTTCCTTGACCAAGTTTAACCTGAAAACATGAGACTTCATCCAGTGGGAATTTAGTTTCTTCCCATTAATCTCAACGATCACTAACTTAATAACTTAATGAGACCATTATCTGAAAGTCTCACAGGAACAGGTACCTGACACTGTCTGATGAACACTCCATATTGACTGAGTGAGAGCTGACACGGTGCTGTTACATTTCTCTTTAGGCCAGAGGTAAAGAAAAAGGATCAAAGAAGAAGGAAAAGGACTTCACAGCCAACAGGTAAAAAATTCAAAGCCCATCAAATGAAGGACAGCACAGTCTGATCCCAGGGTTTCAGTGTGAATGCTGTCTACATTGTCAGTACCACTACCCATCTTCTGTCACCAGAAACTGCATGTTCCTGACTCCATTCCCAACAGGAACATGGCTCGCGGTGAGAGAGTCCAGCTCCCCTGGGATCAGGACTGAGGCTCCATGACCAGAGCTCAGTTTCACTGCCATGGATAAGGATTCACATAATGAGTAAACCACATGGGCTTTATGACAATTGACAGTAGTTTCCTGGTCACCATCAGAGGAGCTCTCTCAATTCCAGATTTTGATTGAAATCAAATGTGTCCATCTGATTCAAATCTGTGTCCCCACAACATTAACCTGGGGAGTAGGGACGGGTGTGTTAGGATTCCTCGTCCAGTGACAGGACTATTTCCCCACCCTCTCCCCTAACTATTCAAACCATTGGGAAGACAGGGTCACACGGTCGAGGACTCTATGGGGAAAATGGGGTGGTAATGTCATTGAAGTACACCAGAGGCCTAAGGACCTGGCTTTAAATCCTGTCACATTAGCTGCTGGAACTTCAATTCAATTTATCATAAATCTGCTTGTGAATATTGTTGAAAAAAAGATACATTTTGTCAAATCGTTTCATCTCACTCTCATCGGGACAATTCACAAAAATACCACTTAAGAATGAAAACCAACGTTTACACTACATGGGAGGACAGGGTGGCATGGTGGCTCAGTGATTCGCACCGCTGCCTCACAGCACCAGGGTCCAGAATCGATTTCAAACTTATGTGGAGTTTGCACATTTTCCCAGTATCTACCTCGGTTTCTGCCGGGTGCTCTGGTTTCCTCCCACAATCCAAATGTGCAAGTTAGGTGGATTGGCCGTGCTAAATTGCCCCTAGTGTACAGGAATATGTGGGTTAGCCGTGGGATTATAGGGTGAGGGGTGGGGATGGGTCTGGGTGGGATGTTCTGCAGATGACTCGATGGACCACATAGCCTCTTACTGCACTGTAGCGATGTTAAGCATCACTTGACAAATGCATGTAAATCTATGGGGTGAATTTGTATTTGCAAATTCATTCTATTTTGTTCAAAAAGTACACTATTTATAGACAGTCAGTCAATGTGGTATTTTATAAATTCCTACTTTAGAAATAAAACCAGTCTGACTCCAAACCAAAACACAAACAGATTCTAAACAAAGTCTCACACCTAACATGCATTGTCTGACTCAAAATGTCACCTTTTCTTTACACTGGTAAAACCTTCAGTTTTCTCAGGACAGTGACTTGTAAGGAATTTGGGGATGTACATATATATATTAGTCAATTAAAACCATCTAACTGATTAAAGATTTAACAGCTTCTCAGATTTGTTTAGTACATCCTCATCAGTGGTGTGACCCTTTGATCTTTTAATTATAAATTCTGTGTCTGATACTGCCTCTCTCACTAACACCTAAAGGAGGACTGAGGTTCTGAAAACTTGTGATTTCAAATAAACCTGTTGGACTATAACCTGGTATCATGTGATTTCTGACGTTGTCCACCCCAGTCCAACATCAGCCCCTCCACATCAATGACAGACCATAATCAGAATCCCGTTGGTACGGTTCCAATTATAATGGCTGGACAATACTGAGGGGGCGCCGCACTGTCGAAGGGTCAGTGCTGAGGGAGTGCCGCACCATCGGAGTGTCAGTGCTGAGGGAGCGCCGCACTGTCGGAGGGTCAGTGCTGAGGGAGTGCCACACTATTGGACTGCCAGTGCTGAGGGAGCGCTGCACTGTCGGAGGGTCAATGCTGAGGGGGCGCCGCACTGTCAGAGGGTCAGCGCTGAGGGAGGGCCGCACTGTCAGAGGGTCAGTACTGAGGGAGCGCCGCACTGTCGGAGGGTCAGTGCTGAGGGAGTGCCGCACCATCGGAGTGTCAGTGCTGAGGGAGCGCCGCACTGTCGGAGGGTCTGTGCTGATGGAGTGCTGCACTGCTGGGGGGGGTCAGTGCTGAGGGAATGGCACAATGTTGTTGCCATCTTCCATTTGAGACAGTAATCCAGTGCTTGCGCTCTCTGATCCAATGATTTATCCCCAACCAGCTGCAAAGTATCAAATTATATGATTATTACTACATTGGTGTATGGGCTCTTGCTGTTTACTCATTGACTGCTGTGTTTCACACACAATGGGAAGGAGATTGTTTTAAAAAGCCTGGTGTTGAGGATGTTGAGAGCTCCTTTCCTACGGGAGTCTGGAGCCTGTGACTGTATTCCCTTTGTGTTTTAGGAGTTTGAACTCTCTGTGCGATGAGTTGATTGAACAGGGATTGTTGAAGGCAGCCCCACAGGTTCCTTTGGCCAGTTATTTAGGTGAGTGTCTGACTGTGGCTCTTGCTCATTGACTGTCATTCCTTCCTATCCCACTATCCTTCTCACCTTCAGCCCAAACCTCTTCCCTCTGGCTCCTGTTTATTTGACCAATGACCTTTGTCCCGAAGATCAAACACTGATATGATGGGAGGTTTGTGAGGATCTCATGCAAACCTGGGATTGGGTCAAGATTATTTTAAGGAAATACTGTTTTCTTTTCCTCACTCTTGGTATGTGGGTATCGCTGGCTGGGCCCAACATTTCTTGCCCATTCCTAATTGCCCCTTGAGAAGGTGGTGATGAGCTGCCTTCTTGAACTGTTGCAGTCCCCCTGCTGTGGGTTGACCCACAATGTCCTTAGGGAGGGAATTCCAGGATTTTGACCCAGCAACAGTGAAGGAATGGCGATATATTGTGCAGCCTGGAGGGGTGAGTTATAGGGACATACAAAATAGGCTGGGGCATTTTTCCCTGGAGTGTAGGAGGCTGAGTGGTGACTTTCTAGAAATTTATAAAATAATCGGGGGTGACTAGCCAAGGTCTTTCTTTACCAAAACTAAAGATCATTGGTTTAAGGAGAAAGGAGAATGATTTAAAAAGGACCTGAGGGGCAACTTTTTTATACAGTGAGTGGTTTGTATGTGGAATGGACTGTAAGAAGAAGTGGTAGAGGCAGCTACAGTTACAACATTTAAAAGACTTTTGAACAGGTACATGGATAGGAAAGGTTCAGAGGGATATGGGCCAAACACAGGCAAACGGGACTAGTTTAGTTTGAGAAACTTGGTCAGCGTGGACAAGTTGAACCGAAGGGTTTGTTTCTATGCTGTGTCACTCTAAGACTCTATTGCTCTATTTCCAAGTCAGGATGGTGAGGGGCCTGGAGGGGAACTTGCAGGGGGTGGTGTTCTCATGTATCTGCTCCCCTTGTCCTTCTAGATGGAAGTGGTCCTGGGTTTGGAAGGTGCTGTCTGAGGATCTCTGGTGAATTTCTGCAGTGCATCTTGTAGATAGTACACACTGCTGCTACTGAGCATCAGTGATGGAGGAAGTGGATGTTTGTGGGTGTGGTGCCAATCAAGGGGGCTGCTTCGTCCTGGATGGTGTCAAGCTTCTTGAGTGTTGTTGGGGCTGCACCCATCCAAGCAAGTGGGGAGTATTCCATCACACTCCTGACTTGTGCCTTGTAGATGAAGGACAGGCTTTGGGGAGTCAGGAGATGAGTTACTCACTGCAGAATTCCTAGCCTCTGGCCTGTTCTTGTAGCCACACCACTCACATGGAGTGAATTGAATTGGCTGAAGGCTGGTATCTGAAATGCTTGGGACCACCGGAGGAGGCCAAGATGGATCATCCACTTGGCACTTCTGGCTGAAGATTGTTGTGAAAGCTTCAGCCCTATCTTTTGTACTGATGTGCTGGGCTCTTCCATCATTGAGGATGGAGATATTTGTGGAGCCTTCTCCTCCAGTGAGTTGTTTAATTGTTCACCACCGTTCACAACTGGATGTGGCAGGACTGCAAAGCTTAGATCTGATCCACTGGTTGTGGAATCATTTACCAGCCTCTCCTGCATCCCTGAATTCCCTCCACCCCCTCTCCTGCCCCTGACTGTTCCTCCACCCCATTCTCACCCTCTTTTCTGATCACCTCCTGACTTATTGATTGGGTTATGTTTTCACAGGAGATTTCAGTTACTTAGGGAGCACTCTCCTCCATGCCAACATCAACCCAATGCCATCGCTCTATGATATCCGTCAGATCATCACCATGTATGCCATCCTGCCGTTGGGTAAGTGGTCGATTGGGTTACACCTTCTCTCAGCTCATGCCCACTGGGCACCTCCAGACCAGCTGGTATCTTCAGAAGGAACAGCTTAAAAGGCAGAGATAATCCACTCAGTCTCTTACACACACAGCAGCCATGGCCCTCCATGTTTCAAAGGTGTGTCCCAGTGACTAACTTGTCACAATTCCCATATAAATCTGTCACACTGTGCTCATCGCGCTCTGTTACCGGCTGTGGGCAAGAGTCTACTGAACGGTCAACTCTAGGTGAGAGGTCAGTGCAGAAGGCTCAGGTCTGGGGTGAGAGATCAGTACTGGAACGTTATGTCTGGGAGGTAGTGTTGAAAAATTATCCCTGAGGCGTGAGTCCGTGCTGAGGGGTGGGTGTCAGTGCTGAGGGGTGGGTGTCAGTGCTGAGGGGACGGGGTCAGTGCTGAGGTATGAGAGTCAGTGCTGAGGTGTGGAGGTCAGTGCTGAGGTGTGGGGGTCAGTGCTGAGGGGAGGGGGTCAGTGCTGAGGTGTGGGGGTCAGTGCTGAGGTGTGAAGGTCAGTGCTGAGAGGAGGAGGTCAATGCTGAGGTGTGGGGGTCAGTGCTGAGGGGAGGGGGTCAGTGCTGAGGGGTGGGGATCGGTGCTGAGGGGAGGGGGTCGGTGCTGAGGGGAGGGGGTCGGTGCTGAGGGGTGAAGGTCAGTGCTGAGGGGTGAAGGTCAGTGCTGAGGGGAGGGGGTTGATGCTGAGGGAAGAGTGTTAAGGCAGATAGTGAGGGGAGATAGTGAGGGGAGATAGTGAGGGGAGATAGTGAGGGGAGATAGAGAGGGGAGATAGAGAGGGGAGATAGTGAGGGGAGATAGTGAGGGGAGATAGTGAGGGGACCATGTAGGGAACAAGTTCCAAATACTCAGAGCAAGAGAAAAGACTCTCGTGTTCCCCTTGATATATTTGTAGCCAATATTGAAATTCTCCCTGACCTTACCTGCCAGTTGAAACCTATTGATATAATTACGCCCTTGCCGTTTTTACACACCTTTGTGAATTGTCTACATATCTGCTCCTCTGTTGCCTGCTGACCGTTTAAGGGCCAATAATAAATTCCAAACAATATGACCGCCCCCTATTTTATTCCCAAACTCTACCCTAAAAGCCAGATTTGAAGATCATTCCAAGATATTATCCCTCCTTACTGTAGTCACTGATTCCCTAATTAACAACACAACACGACATCCACTTTTACACCCTCCCCTGCCCTGTCTTATGATGCTATACCCTGGAATATTGAGTTATCAGTCATGCCCCTGCAATGACAACAACATTGCAATTCCACACATCAATCCATACCCCTAACTCATCCATCTTACCTCTGGTACTCCTAGCATTAAAGTTGAAGGCCTCCAGCCTTGCCCCACACTCCTGGGATATCAGTGATCCTGAGGCCAAGGACTGTTTCCACCTCCTGGAAACACCTGCTAAATGTGTGCTGGGAAATGTGGCCCTAGGATAGGGCTCATCAGCTACACAAGGGCCCAAAGGTCCTATGACCAGTGACGCAGAATTTCCTGAGTGGGTGATCAGACTTATTGATTTTGTGATCGCTAACGACTGCCTTGAGACACAACATTTCTAAACTTACTCTGCCTTTACTAAAACATGAAAAACTCCAGTAAGTTAGTTAAATACAATTTCCCTTTTAGAAATCCAAGCTGACTCTTCCCAATGATCCCACCTTTTTCCATGTGATTGCTGATTCTATCCTGATTAATTGTTTCCAGAAGCTTCCCCATCCCTGAAGGTAAACTGACAGGTCTACAATTGCTGGGATTATCCTTACAATCTTTCCTGAACAAGGCTGTAATGTTTACAATTCTCCAAACTTCTGGCAGCTCCTCTGAGTCCAGGGAATGCTGAAAGATTGTGGCCAGTGCTCCCACAATTCCTACCTGCACTTCCTTCAGAATTCTGGGATGTATCTCACTCAGTCCCAGGGCCTTGTCAACATTCACATCAGCCAATGAAGTTCTCAATTAATGAATTAATACATTCCAGCTCAGTCATTATAAATTAATATTGTAGATAATGCACCTTTGGAACATCTACAATGACATAGAAAACAGAAGCAAATGGAAACCCTTCCAGCCCACTCCATCGTTCATTCTGATCACTCAATCAAAGCCTTTTCTAAAGGCTACCACGTGGTCACCTGTCTTGATTTTTCCCAAGGAAGAGTGGACCTAGGCTGCCAATCCTTTCTTGATATTTACTTCCACATATTTATGGTATCATTCGTATAAAATTTCTCTGTAGTCTTTCCAATTTATAATATGGCAACCGGAATGGCACAGAGTACTCTAAGTGTGGTCTACCCAAGATTTGAAAAAGGTTGAGCAGATCTTACCCACTTTATGATGCTGTCCCTCTAGAATAAAGGCTAATGCTTAGTTTGCATTTTCTTTTATTCTGGCCTTGGTAGCTCGTGTTGCACCATTCAGTGATTGGTGTATTTGTGTCTGTGATCCCTTTGTGCCTCAACTCCATCCAGACATGCACCATCCAAACAATTAGTGACCTCTCTGTTCCTCCCACCCAGCTGGCTGAGTATGGATGCCAACTTGCCCATTTGTCACTGCAGCATTATCAGTGACAGTCAGCAAACTGCATAACCACCAACCCCCACCCCTGATTGGGCCTTGCCACCCACAGTAACCCACTCATTGATTGGTTCCCTAGCCTCAGCCAGCCAGCTCTCCCTGACCAATAGAGATCCATTGCTTTCTCGTTCTGTTCTCTGTAGGCTCCCAGCCACTGCATGAGAAAGCTCCCCTGGTGAAGTCCATCCTTCTGGCTGGTCCCCATGGAGTGGGCAAGAAGATGTTGGTGCACAGTATCTGCACAGAGACCTGTGCCACACTCTTTGATTTGACAGCAAAGAACATCGCGGGCAAGTACCCAGGAAAAGGTGGCCTGCAGATGATGCTGCACATGGTCTTCAAGGTAGGGCAGCTCAAGTTGAGGGGGGGTACTTAAAGACTGGGGAGACAGGGGGTGGGGGCAGGAGGAGGCTGAGGATTACTGTGGACTGGAACTCGGGGACTGTGGGGGATGGAGGGAGCTACTAGTTGACTGGGAGGGCTGGGTAGTGCCTGGGGATTGGGGGTCTATAAGGCCTGGGTCCAGGGGCCAGTAGAATGTGTGAAAGGTTCTGAATACAATTTGTGTCAAGGATTTGAAATGTCTAATGTTCAAGACCACAACACTAGAAAGGGGGAGAGTGTTGATAGGTCAGCACAGACATGATGGGCCAAAGGGCTTCTTCTGTGCTGTATGACTCCATAAATGTAAGAGGAGGCCATTCAATCCACCTATGACAGAGCTACCCAAAAACACCCTGCTCCATGGCCTCAGGGCCTTTGGCTATTGTTCCTGTTCAGTGTTCAGGTTCCCAGGAGAGAGTTTCAGAGCAATGCTATGAGCTTGGTGATGGGCTGAAGGGACTCAGTGTGAACAGAAGTGGGAGGAGGGCCAGGGTAATGGAGTAATGACATGCTGTGGGGCCATTGCAGGGGGATTCTGTTGAATCTGGGGACCACAACAGCTGAGCTGGCCTGAACTGGACTGGGCTGGGTTGGGCACAGTTCCAAAAACACACACTAACATTATATAACTCTATGACTCTAATCTGATTGTCAGTGGTGACGTTGTTGAGTGAAGGAACTTATTTTTAACAGAATGTAGAGGGTGCCATCTGCTTTCCAACCACATGATGGCTCCCCAGTCCAGTCCGATCCCAGCACTGGCACACACTCCCCAGCTCTTTCTATCTCTCCATCTCTCTCTCTCTCTCTCTCACTCTCTCTCTGTTTCTCTCTCTCTCTTTATCTCTCTCTCTCTCCCTCTCTCTCTCTCCCCCTCTCTCTCTCCCTGTCTCTCCCTCTCTCTCTCTTTCTCTCCATCTCACCATGTCTCCCTGTCTCTCTCAATCTCTCTCTCTCTGTCGCTGTCTCCATCTCTCTCTCTTTGTCTCTCTCTGTCTGTCTCTCTCTGTTTCTCTGTGTGTCTCTCTCTCTTTGTCTCTCTGTCTCTCTCTCTCTGTCTCTGGTGTCTCTCTCACTCTCTCTCTCTTTGTCTCTGATGTCTATCTCTTTCTCTCTCTCTGCCTCTGTCTCTCAGTGTCCCTCTCTGTCTCTCTCTGTCTCTGTCTCTGTCTCTCTCTCCATCTCCCCCTCTCTGTCTTAATCTCTGTCTCTCTCTTTCCCTGTCTCTCTATCTCTCTTCTCTCTCTCTGTATGTCTCTCTGTGTCTCTCTCTGTCTCTGTCTCTCAGTGTCCCTCTCTCTCTCTCTCTCTGTCCATCTCCCCCTCTCTCTCTCTCTCTCCCCCTCTCTGTCTCTGTCTCTCTCTCTGTATCCGTCTCTCGCTCTGTCTTTGTCCTTCTCTCTCCCTCCCTCTCTCTCCCTCCCTCTCTCTCCCTCCCTCTCTCTCTCTCCCTCTCCCTCTCTCTCTCTCTCTCTGTCCATCTCCCCCTCTCTCTCTCTCTCTCTCGCCCCTCTCTCTCCCTCTCCCTCTCCCTCTCTCTCTCTCTGCGTTCCAGCTGTGTGTGGGACCCAGGGCACCTGAGCGTTCACAGACTGAGGGGTGGACTTTGTGACTTTGTTTTTATGGCAGCGAGGAGCCATGGTGGGGGCGGGGGAGTGATCTGGACATTTCCTTTTCTTTTGGCTGTTTCTTTTATTTAACAGATTATTCTTTCATCTGTTTTTAATCCTGTCTTTTATATTCTAAGATGGCACCAGAGAATTGCGACAGCGTACGCTTTTCACTGTACCCCTGTATTCCTGTACTTGAGTATGTGTGACAATAAAATCAAAACTGAAATCTAAATCCTATTTCTGTCTCTGGCTCACTGTCCGTCATTCATTCTCTCCCTCTCAGACTCTCCATCTCTCTCTCTCTCTCTCTCTCTCTCTCTCCATCTCTCTCCATCTCTCTCACTCTGTCTCCTCCAGGTTACATTCACTTAGTTGTCCATGTCTTATTTTCCATCTCTCTCACAAACCCTCTCTGCCCCTTCTCCCCTTGAATCTTGGGAGGATCCCAGGAGCTCTGATTCTCTGGCAAAAAGACCATAAGATATAGCAGCAGAATTAGGCCATTCGGCCCATTATGTCTGCTCAGCTATTCGCTCAGGGCTGATATGTTTCTCAACCCCATTCTCCTGCCTTCTCCCTGTAACCCTCGATCCTCTTACCAAACAAGAAACTATCTATCTCTGTCTTAAATATGTTCAATGACTTGGCCCCCACAGCCCTGTGCAGCAATGAGTTCCGCAGATTCACCACCTTCTGGCAGAAGAAATTCCTCCTTATCTCAGTTCTAAAGAGTTGTTCCCTTCAGTCTGAGGCTGTGCTCTCAGGTCCCAGTCTCTCCTACTAGTGGAAACATCTTCTCCATGTCCACTCTATCCAAGTCTCTCAGGATTCTGCAAGTTTCAATCAGATCCCCCTCATCCCCCTAAACTCCATCAAATACAGACCCAGAGTGCTCAACCGCTCCTCATATGACAAGCTCTTCATCCCGAGATAATTCTTGTAAACCTTCTATGTAGACAGTTCACAGAGGTGTGTAAGAGTAAAATTGGGTAATTATAGGTGATTTCAACTTTCCCTTCTTATATTGGGATAGTCATAGTGTGAAGGGTTTAGAGGGACAGATTTCTTGAAATGTATCCAGGGGAGTTTTTGTGAATCAATAATAGAAGGCCCAACAAGGTACTGCATAGTGCTGGATCTGGTTCTGGGGAAAGAAGCCAGACAAGTGTTTGATGTGACAGTGGGGGAACATTTTAACGACAGCGACCACAACACAGTACGGTTCAAATTTGTTCTGGACAAGGAAAAGGATGGTGGGAAGGTAGATTTTATTAAAATAAAGCAGGATCTGGCCTCAGTAAACTGGGAACAGCTCCTTGTAGGTAAGTCTACAGCAGAGCAATAGGGGGCATTTGAAAGGAGCTGGGGAGAGTACAGGTCCAACATATTTCCTTTTGGGGGAAATGTAGCAGCAATAAGTTCAGAGAATCCTGGATGTCTAGGACAATTCAGGAGTGGATGAGGAAGAAGAGAAGAGCTTTTACCAAGTTCAAGGAGAGCAATTCAGCTGCGGCTGTAGAGGAATATAGGAAACGCAAGATACCTAGGTACAGAATCTCAAGTATGAAACAGAAACATAAGGAAAACAAAGATAAAAGCAATTATAAGAGCAAAAAGGGGGCATGAAAAAGGACTTGTGAACAGGATTAGGGAAAATCCTAAGATATTTTGTAAATATTAAATTACATTAAAGGGAAGAGGTTAACCAGGGAAAGAGTATGGCCCATTAGGGACCAAGGGGGCAGCCTATGTGTAAAGCCGCAGGATATTGGAAGGATGTTAAATGAATACTTCTCTTCGATCTTCACTCAAGAAAAAGAGAACGTAGTGTAGAATTCAGGAACAGGGATTGGGAGGAACTTGCACAGTTTGACATAGGTAGTGGGGAGGTATGGGGGCTCTGTTGGGCTTGAAAATGGACAATTCCCCTGCTCTTTTCCCCTTTCTGTCTCTCCCTCCCTCAATCGCCCCCTCCTATTCACAATTTATGATAGTTAAATTAAGATACAGAAGTGTAGGTTATTGTTGAATTAAGTATGAAGAGAACTTATAAAGAGAGATTTCTCTGTGATTTCTGTGTCTGTGAGGAGACAGTGGGCCACAGCTGAACTAGGAATGTGAGGCGAATTTTTTTTTTTCATTGGTCGGGTTTTAGCTGGAGTTACAGGGCTCCTTTAAGGAGCTGTCAGTCTTACTATAGTGGAACTTGGTTCAAAGAAAGAGTTTTTGTGGTTAACTGATGCTCGGATATCCTCAGATACAGAGTATGCAGTGTCCGTGGCTTCAAGCCTTTGTCAACCAGTGGGCACCATCAGATCTGGGACTTCTCCTAATCCCCAGAATGACTTTATAACTTCCTGTGACAATGTGACCCACAGATGCTGCCAGACCTGCTGAGTTTCTCCAGTATTCTCCAGTATTTCCAGCATCCACAGAGTTTTGATTTTATTTTTACAGAGGGGAGAGAGAATGCTGGGACCCAGCACAGTCCCAGTACAATCACTAATATCACAAATTTTTAACCAGTTTCAGACAACAATTTGTGGTGTGGCATTCTATTCATACTCTCTCTCGCTATCTCTCTCTTTCTTTCTTTCTCTCTCTCTCTTCTCTCTCGCTCACTCTATCTCACTCTATCTCACTCTATCTGTCAATCTCTCTCTCTCTCATACACACACTCTGTCTCTCTCATTCCCTCTGTATCTCTTTCCCTGTCTCTCTGTCTGTCCTCTCTCTGTCTCTTTCTCTGTCTCTCTGACTGTCTGTCTCTCTCTCTCTTTCTTACACACACCTTGTCTCTCTCTATCTCACACTCTCTATCTCTTCCATACACACACTCTCTCTATCTCACATACGATCTCTTCGCCTCGCTCACACACACACACACACACACACACACACACACTCTCTCTCTCTTACATACACACGCTCTGTCGATCTCACACACACTCTCTGCCTCACTCTGTCGATCTCACATACAATCTCTCTGCCTCTATCTCTCTCACACACACTCTCTCTCTCCCTCCCACCCAAGGTAGCGAAGCTCCTACAGCCCTCCATCTTGTGGATCGATGATGCTGAGAAAACTTTCATGAAGAAAGTGCCGAAAGGGGAGAGAGCGGTCAGTGCACACCCCTCTGAAACCCCACCCCCAACCCAGCACCCCTCACCCCACACACCACTGTCCACCCCAACCTTATCCAACACAACTCACTCTTCCACCCAAATCCTCCGCCACTCATTCCACCTCATGCTCCTCCCCTCATCTGCCATCTCCCCACCATTCACCCCACTCCCATTCCCTCACTCCTCACACCTTGTCCCCCTCCTTTCACCCGTCATAACGATACCCATCTTTACATCCCTCACCCCACCACTTCATTGCTACAAGGTGGTTATTACAGTCCCATTACAGTGCCAGGTTGTAGTGAGGTGGTCGTTACAGTCCCATTGCAGTGCGAGGTTGTAGTGAGGTGGTTATTACCGTCTCTTTATAGTGCCAGGTTGCAGAGAGGTGGTTATTACAATCTGATTACAGTGCCAGGTTGTAGTGAGACAGTTATTACAATCTGATTACAGTGCCAGGTTGTAGTGAGACAGTTATTACAATCCCATTACAGTGCCAGGTTGTGGAGAGGTGGTTATTACAATCCCATTACAGTGCCAAGTTGTAGTGATTTGGTCGTTACTGTCCCATTGCAGTGCCAGGTTGTAGTGAGGTGGTTATTACAGGTTTTTTACAGTGCCAAGTTGCAGAGAGGTGATTATTACAATCTGATTACAGTGCCAGGTTGTAGTGAGGTGGTTATTACAGTCCCATTACAGTGCCAGGTTGTAGTGAGGTGGTTATTACAGTCTCTTTACAGTGCCAGGTTGCAGAGAGGTGGTTATTATAATCTGATTACAGTGCCAGGTTGTAGTGAGGTGGTTATTATAGTCCCATTACAGTGCCAGGTTGTAGAGAGGTGGTTATTACAGTTCCATGACAGTACCAGGTTATAGAGAAGTGGTTATTACAGTCCCATTACAGTGCCAAGTTGCAGAGACGTGGTTATTAAAGTCCCATTGGAGTGCCAAGTTGTAGAGAGGTGGTTATTACAGTCCCATTACAGTGCCAGGTTGCA